TAGTTCGATTAGTAGGCGTCTTATCTTAGTGAGATAGTTATATATACTATCGAAATTGCCTAATTAGCTGTTGAATAGGCTCTTTAATATAAGGAATTCGGTAGTAAATCCTTTTAGCCGATATTAGGTAGCTAAGGCTACCTATACTTAATAGGCCGATATAGTATCTCCTAGCTAAATAAGTAGGCTATCTTTATATAAGAGCTTGATTAATAATAGAGTATCTCGATTTATCTAATCGATAGTTTTGAATTTATTAGACAGAATAACTAGCTTATTCTAGCCTATCTTAGCAGGGCTAGTAGATCTTATAGGTCTACTAGATCTTCTTCTTTCTAACTAAATTATAACGCTTCTATAATCAGGTAATCTTTGATTAGGTAGTAGAGCAATTGCTTTTTTATAAGACTAGTACTGATTAGGAATCTAGCCTTGTTAAATAGCAGGAAGCTTTATATAATCGTATTAGATTGTATTAATTAGTCTCTCTTGATCAAGAATCGCCTTAATTCGGATAGACTAGGCAATATAATTTCCTTCTCCTTTAAGAGGATCGATATTATGTTTGTTGATTATCTTGAGTTTAAAAGACTTGATTGAATTATTGAAAAATAGTTGTTTTTTGTTAAGAAAGTCGAGATTTCTTAATGTTTCGTATAGAAAAGTACACGCGACCGGTAAAAATCGAGTATAAATTTTTGAAAATAAGAAGTTGGAGGAGCTTTTTGTTTCTCTTTAAGAGAGAGAAGTTTCTCTTAAAAGTAAGGGATTCTTCGTTAAAGATAAAAGATTAAAGAAGTGGTATAAGCCGAATTAAAGTAGGATCAATTCGGGCTTATAACCTATAAGCAAGCGATACTACGTAGGTAGAGAGGGAAGGAAGAAGATTAAATAAGATAGATCGATCTTTCTTCCTTAGATTAAATAGGAAGGATAAGTTCAATTCGGCTTAGGATTATAAAGGTAAGAGAAAAGTGAGGTAGGACTAAAGCTTGGTTGATTGTATTGAATCTTGTTGTCTGTATGATTGATTATTAATATAATTTTTGTAGAGAAAACAGGGCGTATATATAATCAATATTTTATGCAAACTTATCAAACTTATTTTCTGTATGTGATCAATCTAGATAGATCTAGATATATTCTAGATGTATAGTAATCTCATACAGATAGATCTAGCTGTATATAATGATATTATGTAGATAGATCTAGATGTATAGTGATCTCATGCAGTAGCCGTTTGACTTGTAGTTGCTTGATTGTACGATGTCATTGATCGTAGTGATGATGTAGATCGTATACAATAGTATACGTCTTTTACGATATCATTGACCGTAGTGATGATGGTATAGCGATGTCATTGACCGTAGTGATGATGGTATAGCATAAAGCTTATAGAGATTCAGCCATTTTGTATAGGCCTTATGAATCTAGCTTGATATGCTGCATGACTGCTGCATGACGGTTTAGGCATCTTGCCCTATATCTCACATAATCTCTATTAAAAAGAGATTAGCTTACTACTATATACTAGCCTAAAGACTAGGCTAGATATAGCCTATCTAGTTACCTATTACTTACGCTATATAAGTAATCCTGACTAATCGTATATCTCCGAATTAAAGAAGATATAGCAATATCTATAATATCGGCTAAATCTAGGCCTATACTACGATTACACAGAGAATGACCTATATATAAAAGGCTACTCTAATATTAATTAGCCAGGCGATATCGATAGTAGAAAATCCACTACTAGCTATATATTTAGCCTATCTAGAGATCTAGCTACTAATAATATAGTAAGCTAGAATTCGATACTACAAAAATCAGTAGCCCTATCTACCTGCGAGGCCGAATATATAGCTATAAAAGAAGCTATACGAGAAGCTATCTATCTAGCTAATCTCTTTAACTATCTAAACGATAGATTAGGCCTAGGCTATACGCCTAGCAAACCTACTATATTAGTAGATAATAAGGTAGCTATTAAGCTAGCCGAAAACCCTAAATTTCATAAAAGGACGAAATATATTGATATATAATATCACTATATTAGAGATCAGGTTAAACAAAAAAGGGTCGATATTTAATACGTCCCTACTAAACTGCAATTAGCAGATTTCCTGATAAAAAACGTTAGAAGAGAAATATTTAAAGACCTAAAGAATCTAGCTAACCTCCGTGAGATTTAGGAAGATATATATCTAGCTATTTTATAGTAGTATATATATATATCGATCTATCTACTCTACACTAATCTCTATACTCTACTGCTATTTGCACTATAGTATAAAGATTACGGGGGGGTATAAGATACAGGGCAAGATACCTAAACTTGTGAGCAAGCGATGCTGCGCAGGTTGGTAAAGAGGAAGATAAATTAAAGATGATTAAATAAGATCGATTGATCTTTCTTCCTCTTGATTGAATAGGAAGGATAAGTTCAATTCGGCTTTAGGATTATAAAGGTAAGAGAAAAGTGAGGTAGGACTGAAGCTTGGTTGATTGTATTGAATCTGCTTGTCTATATGATTGATAATTGACATGATTTTTGTAGAGAAAACAGGGCGTATATATAATCAATATTTTATGCAAACTTATCAAACCTCTTTCGCATGTGATTTATCTAGATCTAGGATCTAGATGCATGATGATCTCATGCAGACAGATCTAGATGCATAGTGATCTCATGCAGTAGCTGTTTGATCGGTGGTTGCTTGATTGTACGATGTCATTGATCGTAGTGATGATGTAGATCGTATACAATAGTATACGTCTTTTACGATATCATTGACCGTAGTGATGATGGTATAGCGATGTCATTGACCGTAGTGATGATGGTATAGCATAAAGCTTATAGAGATTCAGCCATCTTGTATAGGCCTTATGAATCTAGCTTGATATGCTGCATAACTGCTGCATGACGGTTTAGGCATCTTGCCCTATATCTCACAAAACTGCTATATAGTATATCAAGGCAGATTCATAAGTCCTATACAAGATAGCTAAATCTCTATAAGCTTTATACTATACCGGTTAATGATATCGTACAATCAAGACGTATACAACAGTATACGATCTATATCATTACTACAGTCAATAATATGATACAATCAAGTAAGACGTATATAACAGTGTACGATCTACATTATCACTACGGTCAATGATATAATACAATCAAGTAAGACGTATACAACAGTGTACGATCTACATTATCACTACGGTTAATGACATCGTACAATCAAGCAACCACAAATCAAACAGCTACTACATGAGATCACTATGCATCTAGATCTGTCACATGCAAGAAACAAGTTTGATAAGTTTGTATGAAAGATTGATTATAAATATGCCCTGCTTTCTCTACCAAGATTAGAATAATGTTTTATGATATACAAGCAAGATTCAATACAATCAACCAAGCTTCATTCCTACCTTACTTTTCTCTCATCTTACCTTTATGATTCTAAGCCGAATTGATTTTATCCTTCCTATTCAATCAAGGGAGAAGATCAATCTATCTTCTTCTTCCTCTCTACCTAACCTGCGCAGCATCGCTTGCTCACACTATCGAACAAAGTAATCTCAAAGAAATTGAAGGAAGAAACTAGAAGATCCTCTATATCGTATAAGCAGGAATAATCGCTAGTCCTATAGCTAAACGCTCGAGGCTAAGGCTAAGGCTAAGGGAGGGGGAATCTCTATTAAGTAGGTAGACGTATTTAATTCTATCTAGATAGTAATTAATAGAGATTTCCCCTCGGAAATCCCTATAGGAGATTCCTTAGAGATTTCTAGGGTAGCGCCTAGCGTTTACTAGTAAGGCCTATTTAGGCCTGCTTCTCTCTCTTCTTCTTCTACTTCTATAGATAGTTCTCTTATAGATTCGAACTAGATCTATTTACTCTCCTTCTGTTTCTTGCTTCCTTGCGTAGAGGCGCTAGATATCTTGTTGTTTTCTTGGTTCGATTTTTCAGACAAAAAAGCGATATCTTGTATGCATATACTTCGCTCGTTATGATGCCACCTGTTAGATAGTGGCGGTCGAGCTTTTACGCAATACATATCTTATCTCTCAGACAATTTTGGTATCTGGAAGTACTGCCTCGTAAGCTTAGAGAGAAGCTGTAGCCAATGTTTTAATTCGCCTAGGGATCCACTAATCTACCTCAATACCCAAGTCGAAATCGGAACCATCTGCCAATTACGGGGTAAACCGTAGGGTAAGTTAGGTACTGTATTTCTTGAAGGGTATCCCATCCCACAAAGGGATCTTTGTTCTTGTGGTAGGTCGGCTTTTGCCCATCGGAGTCCGAAAGTTTCGGGTCTTGGGCTCGGAAGCTACCTATCCTAGACAGTTTATGTGAGCCGGGTCGGGCTAACCTACCCTGCCTTGTCCGATAGCCGAGTGCCTACTTCTACAGGGATCTAGAATTGATTCTCCTCTAGGATAATCTACTTTTTCCTATCCGTAGTTTCACTGCAAATTAATTATAAACTGATACAAAGAAACAATATAGATGACCAGTATTGCTTGCTGGCGCGAGGCTATTGGCGTCTTCTGTTCGGAAGCGCCGGGGACTAATATGAACTATACCACGCGCATATATTCAAGTGGCATCGAGTCTTTCTACCTAAACGGCCAGTGTGAGATGGAGCGTCCCACTTAAGATGTTCGTGATCATTTAGAATTTGATTGAGGCCGAAGGAAAAGAAATTGCCACTTTACTCTGCACATAAGGCTTCATTGCAGTACCCGACCGACAATTGTTTTAAGTTCAGACATACTGGTCAAGAGGATAGTCATAGGCAGGCTAAGGTTCACAATTAAACTTAAATATCTTTCTCTTCCCAATGAATTATCGGATCTATGGGTCGATGATGGCGGCTCCATTTACCCCGCAACCCCTAATTTTGATCCACCGATTTCCCCAGAGTCTTTCTGTCGGGGATGATGTTTCGATTTCTTCCTCGGCAATAGATCCCTATCACTATCAATGACTCAACGAGTTAGCTCTGCGCAGCAGCAAACCTTTTCACGTCGCCGCAAGGCCTGTGAAAATTGTCGGCGGCGCAAAGAAAGATGCGATGGGTTCCATCCTTGCGGCAGATGCCGCACCCGAAAAGTTGAGAGTCAATGCAAGCAACTGCATTCTACGGAACATCCAGTTTCGCCGCGGCGGGATAGCGATAAACAAGCTTCTGTGACTCGTGCCACTTGCAGCAATGACGATGTTCCTATGGTACTTGCACGGAGTTTCGGATTCCTGGATGCTTGGCAAGGTCTGGATAACAGCACAAGTCCTCCGTCCCGGATGACAGTCTCTCGAAACCTCTCTATCTCGTCTTCTGTCGGCTCAATGGTGTGTCACACGTCGCGTTTGATTTGCAATGATCAGGGCGAGTACATCTTCCTAGGTCCATCTGCCAACCTCTCCGTACTTCAAAGTATCCGCCAAATTATCCACAAGGCGCTCGGTACAAGCCAATTTTCCAAGGTGCCGGCTGAGGACGACCCGATCAATTCAAGTGCAACAAATCCACTCAATAGCATTGAAACCAGCACAGAGCCTGCTCGGCCCTCAATAGAAGATGCCCTGTACTATATCCGATGGTTCTCTAGTGCTACAAGTTGTGTCTTTGATCTCTTTGGACATGACGAACTCACTACGATGATAGTTCCCTGGCTTGAGCAACCTTCCACAACCGACGCGAACACTTGTATTTATTTTCTTGTCCTCGCCATCGGAGCTCAGTGTGGACCAAAGAACCGCGATGATGAGGCTGAGGCATATTTCAACTACAGCCGCTATCTATTATCCGCAAGGCCCAGCCAGACCACGAATATTGCCATTGTCCAGATTCATTGTCTCATCGCTACTTATCTCCTCAACGCAGCATGCCCTCAATCGGCCAACATGCAGCTCGTATTGGCTATACGGGCTGCACATTCCCTGGGTATCCACCGTGCCGATATTAATGCTCTTTTTCCGCCGGCGGAGAACTTGAAGCGTGAGCGGATATGGAAGATCCTTCGTGTTCAGGATCTTTTCCTGAGCACATCACTCGGGCAGCAGCCAGCTACAACGGAGACTCGTCAGAATATATCTCACCAGGGCTACTCGGCATCCACGGATCTATGCCATATATTTGAGAAGATCCTCTCCGAGGTGTACTCGAAAGAGGAGGTGCCTCCAAGCGTTCTAGAAAATGTCAGTCAACATCATCGAAAATGGGCTTCACGCTTTCGAGAAGGTCTTGTTACAGATCACATTTCGGATGAACATGAAAGCTCAGACACTGGGGAAAAAAAACTCAATATTGGTCTATGTCATCTCAAAGAAGCCTACTACTGGACCATCATGCTTGTAACCCGCCCTTATTTGATGGATCTTGTGCAAAGGCAACTCGCCAACGAAGAAGACCCCTCGCTTCTACATGCCACTGATGACATGCATTCATCTTCGGCAAATCCTTCTAGCACTCTATTGGCCCATGCTTCAGTGAATTCGGCAGTCCTCACAATCGACCTCCTGCAATCCTTCTTGCACGAAAAGGAAATCCCGAAAAGGCTTCCCTATGTTGTCAACTCAGTCTTTAACTCAGCACTCGTGATAGGTATAGGCTATCTCGCAAACCTTGACTCGCTCTACCCCTTGAATAATGCTATGCATCTAGCGGAAAGGTTACTAGAACGCTTCCAATTCCACGATGCATTGGCAAAATGGGGTCTCAAGGTTATCCGAGATCTTCATAATACGTGCCATGAATATGTCCGAAGACGATGTGACCGTCAATTGAAGCATCAAGGCGCTCTATTAGAAGGCCTTTTTGGTGACGTGGAATCAGTTGGCCGTCCAGAGCGGCCACTTTATGTCTCTCGGTCTTGTCCGGACGGTATCTCTCAACTCCGAAGCCAGTCATCGGACTTCGAAGACTTGTATCATCTGCCCCAGACTGCGTTTTCCGAGTTACCCCATGATTTACAGATTGAGGATAATGGAACCACATGGGATCATTTGTTTTATGACTCCCTTCCCGGTCCGCTGTGGGAAGCAAACTTGGAGCCTGGCAGTCTGCCGTTTGAGTGGCCGTGATTATGTGTATCTAGTACAGTCGTTTGGGGGTTTTTTGAATTTGAATATACTTTTTAGGTCTGGTCATATTTGTTCCTCTCTCAAGAGTCCAGTGTATGACCCATCACCCACCTTCAGCAACGTGAAATAACGAACTAACTCTCGATTGTGCAGAAGTTCTGAATTCCATCATCGTACCATACATTCTCCTCCGAAGAGATCTCCGAAGTGGGGGCTTTTCGGCTTCCTCTTAAGGTTTGCGACCACTCCCTCTCCTATCGAAGCACCTGGTTTGGTTCACATTCAAGTCCGAAGGAATCATTGGAGGAGATCAATACTAAAATACTGACTTTACATGTTTCGAAGATCCGGGGGTCTTCCCCGCATTATTTGTCGGGCTCATTCGGGATGTTTGCTCAGTGAGCCGATTCCTGGGTAGGAATATGATTTATATCGATCAAAATCTCCCAATAAATATGTGAATTCCAATTCATCTACAGCTTCTATCTTCTATTTTGACTTTGGATTTCTACCTATACGTGCAACTATGGGTTCCGTGACAATAACCGAGCCTCTATTGGACGCGCTGATTGTTGGCGCGGGCTTTGGAGGTGTCTATCAACTCAAGCAACTTCGGGATCATGGCTACAAAGTCAAACTCGTCGACTCTGCCTCGGACTTTGGCGGCGTTTGGTACTGGAATCGTTACCCCGGTGCGCGAGTCGACAGTACAGTCCCGCATTACGAATTCTCTGATGCAAATCTATGGAAAAACTGGTCATGGAAGCAACGCTTCCCGGGTAGTCAGGAGATTCGGGACTACTTCGCCTATGTGGCTGATGAGTGGGATTTACGGAAAGACGCCGAGTTTAACACCTTCATCTCGCGAGCTATTTTCGATGAGCAGAATAACATCTGGCATGTCTCGAGCTCGGATGGGAAGGAATTCTCCGCTCGATACCTTCTCCTCAATACTGGTTTCTCTGCCAAAAGACATATTCCTGACTGGAAAGGAATCGACAAATTCAAAGGAGAATGGATTCATCCGTCATACTGGCCCAAGGAAGAGCCAGATCTTCGTGGCAAAAAGATTGCCGTGATCGGGACTGGCTCGACGGGAGTGCAGCTCGCCCAGGAGCTGAGCCAAGTGGCGAGCGAATTTGTACTCTTCCAAAGAACTCCAAACACTGCCTTGCCGATGAAGCAGATCAACTTCAAGGAACGAGAGCACATTCCTCCCAAAAGCACTTATTCCGAGTTATTCCAAGGCCGACGGACCAGCTTCGGTGGATTCAATTTCAACTTCACCCCTCGTTGCACCTTTGATGATTCTCCAGAGAAGCGAAAGGAGATATACGAAGAGTTGTGGAAACATGGAGATTTCCACTTCTGGCTTGGTACCTATCAAGACATGCTCTTCAGCAAAGAGGCCAACAAAGAGGCCTACGATTTCTGGAAAGAGAAAGTCAGAGCACGCATTCAAGATCCACGCCTTCAGGAGATCCTGGCACCAGAGATTCAGCCTCACGCCTTCGGCTGCAAACGTATTTCCCTTGAGAACGGCTTCTATGAGATCTTCAGTCAGCCGAACGTTTCGCTTGTGGACGTCAAATCTACACCGATTGTTCAAGTTGTCGAGCAAGGCATCCAAACTACTGAGAAAGTGTGGGAATTCGATTATGTCGTCTGCGCTACTGGTTTCGATGCCGTGACAGGTGGTCTGCTACAGATGGGTATTCAAGGCAAGAACGGCCAGCTTCTAACAGACAAATGGAAGGACGGGACGAAGACGTATCTCGGTATGGCCGTCTCAGGCTTTCCTAACATGTTCTTCACATACGGACCCCAAGCACCCACAGCGCTGTGCAATGGTCCAACCTGTGCCGAGTACCAGGGAGACTTTGTTATCGCGATGATGAACCACATGAGAAGAACGGGCTCCCGATACATCGAGGCTAGACCTGAGGCTGAAAAGTCATGGGGCGCGGAGGTTCATAAATTCGCTTATTCTTCCTTGGTGCCAGAGACAGACTCGGTAAGTGATTGTCGTTGACTACGATTCTTTCAACTAAGATCTAATCAATTCTTGCTTAGTGGTACATGGGAACAAACATTCCCGGCAAGAAACGCGAGCCTCTCATCTATTTTGGTGGTGTCCCGAACTACTATGCGAGTCTTGACGCTTGCGAAAATGGTGGATTTTCCGAGTTTGAACAGTTCTAGGTTACTTATGTGGTGATGGCTAGCCATGGACTGGGCATTTGCTCGAAGATGCGGAGAATATAGTCCTTCCCCCCGGTTTCAGCCATAGTCTCATGGTTTTATTCTTAGTGTATTTTTTTTCAATCAAGTCTAGTTTCGTTAAATAGAGCTTGCTCCATACTTTTACTCCTATCCATCTCCCTTGTGAAGATTCCGTCTTTTTGGACGTTGTCGGAACTACTTTATATAATTGATGACATGACGCTTCATCCATTCTAATCAAGTTCAGACAACATCGAGCAAATTTAGTCTGTAAAGTGGTCAGTTGTCATCCATAATTTTAGTGCAAGGGTAAAAAAGTAATGTCATCTTTTTAATCTTCAAATCAGAATCACAGTCTATGTATTCTTTGATTTTGTGGGTGTTCAGAACCCAAAGTCTGCCGCCGTACTCTACCTCCCCAGAACCGGGCATGCCGCTGGGCGTGGTCAGGAATTTAGTGCCCTTTTTCTGACCACGCTCAGCTGTAACTCGCCCAGAACCTTGAGCATCATTCAGTAAGGGCAGCGGGATCCCATTTCTCAATAGGGTTTCTGGCACCATTGTGTTTATTCACTAAGCCGAGTCTCTAGTATAATTTCCTGCGGTTTCCCATTGGTCCAACATGAGACAGCTCTACCTACTACTTGAAGAAAGTCCACCAAAGATACATAAAATTGCTGGATGATATCTCAACACTACTGATACTAGAGAATCTGATTCATTGCCTTTTTGGACAATTAATCCTGTCTTGAATCCACGAAACAGCAGTCACTGTGTTCTTTATGAATACAGTCCATTCAGGAAGAGCATGGAAGAACCAAAAACAGTGAGGCAGGCCCTGGTAATCGTCCTCGTGAACAGTAACTCCGGCGTCTTTCAAAGCACTCGCCAGAATTTTGCCATCATCTCGCAAAAGGTCACACTCCGCAGTCGAGATATATACCGCTGGAAATTTCGGGAAGACCCGATCGTCAAGCAAGATGAAAGAGCTGGCATCATCAGGCACAGCACCAGCATATTGCAGAAACTGGGCCAGAACAGAGCGCGTCAGAACTGGTGCACCTTCTCCAAACTCTTCATATGACGTATGGAGCTGCTGATATTTCACAGGTATGTTGTCGGGGTGAGCAGTGAGTGGGCTTATTGCAATCACACCACATAAACAATCCGAAGGCACCGAGGATAGCCCGGATATAATGTCTCTCGCAGCTAGCAGAGCCAAAGCCGCACCAGCTGAGGTGCCGATAGTGTAAATTTGGCTCCTGTCGCCGCCGTAGGATTGTACATTCTCGTATGCCTGCCTCGAGATGTTAGAGATTCATAGATACAATTGATGAGTTTGGGTGTTCATGCCCATTCAATGACTGTCAACGCATCTTGGAGCTGTGCTGGATGCTTATGCTCAGGTGCCAAGCGATAGTCCACACTAATGATTATAGTGTTTGCTTCCTTACAAAGTGTACGGCATATCGTATCCTCGGCTTCTAGATCTCCCAGAATGTAACCACCGCCGTGCATGTATACTCCGACAGGAATAGAAGTGCCCTCATCTTTCGGTATATAGATGCGGTACGGGATGCTCTTGATGACACCATCCGATACTCTCAGCTCGTCTGCAAAAGGTTTATAGCCCAAGGAAATGGCGGCAGCGAGCTCAGCAAACTGTTTTCGGATATCAAAAACGTCACCTTGGAGGGCTACTCTGCCACCAAAAGCATTCTCCAACTAGAGAGAATAATATCCTTAGCCAACCCAAACAATTCAGATCCTCTTATGGGACAGGAAATACCTTGAGCCAAGATTCTGCATAATTCGGTGCCATGCTTCGGATCTGTGTGACAGCGGTATATGGTGCTTAAACGTTTGTTCGATCAGAAGCGAGAATTGGCAGGTCTCTTAATTTGCAAGAGTCAATGCTTTTTAATATAAATTGAAGCATGATTCAAAGTGATGACCACGCTCATACATCAGCAGTGCCTAGAAAGGCCTTCGGATGTGATTTCGGAACATGGGACTTTTAAGGTTTGCGGGGTTTCGGACTCCGATATAGCTTTCGGAGAAGATGGGGAATTGAGATTAATCAGGATGGAAGCCTTGTTTGGCCTGAAAGATGAGTCCCTATGTAGAAAACCTGGTTCCTTCCAGTATATCTTTCCGAAGGCCTCTTTCGAGTTGTTTTTGTCTTTTTGATGCGTCTCCAAGCTCGACTAGCCTGACTGCGTCTTTTTACGCTTGCGACAGCTCATCAACAGGGTGGGGGAAATGCCAATGGAAATTCTCTGGGCAAAGAGGGAGACAGGCTGCTCGAAGGACTCGAGTATGCTGTTCGCTTGGCCGAAAGAGCCCACGAGGCCCGTCAAGCGCAGAGCCTGCGTCACCGAGGTGCTTTTCTAGACAGCTAGACCGGATACTGACCCTATTGTTGTACTCATTCACAGTGTTGTGCTCATCAAGTAAAAGACGGCCAATATCTAGAGACAGCTCTCCTTCCAGCTTCAGGTTCGAGTTGTCATCGAGCAATTCGCCATCGGCGTAGTGATAGACAGACCATCCCCGGCGTCGGAGCGTGTCAAGTTCCTCGATTTGCCAGCGTCCTCTCAAAGGGCCACAAACAATGGTGTTCTTTGCATGGGAGGTAGAACTGAAAGGGCAGTATAAAGCCTTTGAGGTGATCAGACATATCTCATGGGTCGCAAAGAAAGAAATTTTGGCTGATTTGACCAACTCCACCCTGACGCTCTTTCCGTCCGTGAGTCTGCGATACGATGACCCAAAAGACTCCTAAATATATCACGTTAATCAAAGAAATGTTTTGAATAGCGGGGAGTATTATACGTCTGTAGCTTGATAGGAGGCGCTAGTGGTCAAAAAACGATGCTAGAGGAAGGCAGAGACGGGCAACGGTATGTATATAGTAGCTCGTGCCTGCATTATGGGCCCAATGGCCAATATGGCACATGTCTCCTTCATCACGGTCTCGGCATGGTACGATTCACCAAAAAAGAAACCTAGCAAACCAGGGCCATTTAACGCATTAGAAACATGGCCGGGGTAGAAGATATTGTAATGTGACAGGTGCTAAGTTAAATAGAGTGACCGAGGATGACTACTCTTGGTTCTTCAGAAAGGGAAATTTGAAATTAGGTCTATAATGAAGACAGAACAAGGAATTCTTTATAGTACTCTCAGTCCTAAAGCTAGTGTTACCCCCGTATACTCTCTTGCTCTTTCCCTAACCCCACGCAAGGAATAATATGTATAGGCTAGGGCTAACTTCTAACGTTATAGCGACACGTTAGTGGCTAGGCACTTATTGCTTTACTATTTTCGTACTAGCGTAGGATTAAAGAAAGAATAAAAAAGCGCAAGGTAGTAATACCGGTTTCGGGGTAGATATTATCACAGAGTCCGTAATAATTAAACGATTAGGTGCTAATTTAGCTTGCTCCTAGGAGCCCTGCCAACCCTTAATTATTACCTTACAATTAATTATGTCTCAAAATTTTCACGAGCTAGGAGAAAGGGATTAGAGTTAGGGTATTCCTAGGAATAGTATAATTATTCCTATTAAAGTTCGGACGTGCTTAATAAGACGAAAGGCCGGATTACTATATAGAGGTATAAATAAAGTCGATGATTAGAATGCTAGTCTTAACTATAGCTCTAAAAAATATTTAAGTAACCTTCTTTTATCTACTTCTATCTATAGCGGACCTAATTTATTTTAAACTAATATCTACTAACTAGAAGGTGATCTATCTAAATCTAGATTAATCGTTTTAAAAATTAATTACTATATTAGATACCTCTTCTCGATCTTCTCCCTAAGCTTCTATTAGAGATCGGTAATAGCCTATAGCTAGTATATATACTTACCTTATCTTATATAAATCGTTTATTTTAGTCTATGTTTCTACCGCTCTTATATAAAAATAATATTCTCTACTAGAAAAGCTCCGCTCTTATTTAGGGAGCTAGATATAGTATATATTATACTATAAAGAGGATCCTCGATTATTACGATATAGAAGTTAATACTTAGGACTAGGATTTACGTACTATAATATTCTACACTATCGAAAATTAAAATAAAGCGATATTAGATATACTTCTTAACGACTCTTAATTAAATATTAATTACTACGACCAGGAATAGTAGACGCTATTACTCTACGTATTATCTTACTGTAAGAGCTCTATAGTATATAGGCTACTTAAACACTATAGTATCTCTATTACTATAGAGGATAGTATAGGTAGAATAGCTTTATAGTATACGATAGCTACCTACGAAGAGTGCTTTATATAATATCTTCTTTAGAAAGGGAGTAGCGTTAATATCCTAGATATCGATAGCTTTAGCCTATTAAGTATAGCTATTTACTAGGGAAATCTTTCCTTAGTAAGATAGCTTCTCTCTTATATAGTATAATATAGATAGTATAGGAGAGGTTTTTCTAACCCTAATTATTTAATACCTTTTCTATATTTAGCTATACGAAAGGGATAGGGAAAAATAGGCTAATTATTACTCTCCTATAGAGCCGATATAAACTACCGAGATATATACGAAAGGTCCTCTTTATATATAGTAGTAGAAATTAGCGATTTAAAGATTACTGCTATACTTCTTAATTAGGATAGGGTCAAGCTAAATACGACTAATATCTATAGTCGTACTATACTCTATATTACGGTAGATTAGGGATATAACGAAATATTTATACTTCTTCTAAATAAAGCTAGTATAGATATTAATACTATTAGAAATACGTCTAGTACATATGTGAGATATAGGGCAAGATGCCTAAACCGTCATGCAGTATATCAAGCCAGATTCATAAGGCCTATACAAGATGGCTGAATCTCTATAAGCTTTATGCTATACCATCATCACTACGGTCAATGACATCAAGTAAGACGTATACAACAGTATACGATCTACATCATCACTACGGTCAATGACACGATCTACATCATCACTACAGTCAATGACATCGTACAATCAAGCAACCACCGATCAAACAGCTACTGCATGAGATCACTATGCATCTAGATCTATCTGCATGAGATCATCATGCATCATCTAGAATGATCACATGCAAGAGACAAGTTGATTATAAATATGCCCTGCTTTCTCTACCAAGATAATAATAATGTTTAAAACATACAAGCAAGATTTAATACAATCAACCAAGCTTCAGTCCTACCTTACTTTGTCTCATTTCATCTTTATGATTCTAAGCCGAATTGATTTTATCCTTCCTATTCAATCAAAGGAAGAAGATCAATTAATCTTACTTCCTCTCTACCTAACCTGCGCAGCATCGCTTGCGCACAACATAAAACTATAGAAGAAATCGTTCGTGCATACTAATCTTAGTACCACGATTATAGAAGAGAGATGAATCAGGATAGAACATAATCAGCTAATCAGACAGAAGAATCAAGTAGTAGAAGGTTAATTTAGATAGTCTACTATGCCTAGTAATTCTACCCGTAATAAAAGAGATATTAAACTTGTTTATTCTAACTAGGAAATAGAGTGTAATTTATAATATAAGGAATATAATAAATATTATATAAGGAAATTAAGAATATTCGAGGTTATCTTAGAGTATTACATAGTCTCCTACCTAGATATTAATATAATTGTTAAAGATTAATCTAATATATTAGGTAGGGTAAATATAATAATATTTTACTATAGTAAAGATATAGAAAAGGTATATTAAAAGGAGGATATAAGATAGTATTTCTCTATAGTAAAACTAGAGAGGTTACTTAGTAAGTAGGTAGATTTTAAAATAGTAATCTAGGCCTAAGGCCCTTTATATACTAATATACCTCTTTAGCTCTTAATATAAGATAAAAGATAAGAGTAAAGTAAGAGCTAAATAAGAGGAAAGGAGAGGATAGATAATTACCTAATACGATAGGGATACTTCTATACCTAGCTATCTAATAAAGACGCTATATTTTTTACTAGGTAGGTATTTTATAAGTCTATTAGCTAGTATTTCGGTTATTTTAACCTATTAGACTATTAGCTACTTAGCCTAAACTTCTTACTAAATCTAAAGCTAGTAGATATCTATATAGTAAAGTTTTATCTAAAATACTAACTTCTTATAATTTAATAGGTTAATAGTTTATTTATTATTATAATTTAGTATCTCTAATTAGTTAGTCTCGAATTATATAAAGGAAAAAAAGGCGTTTTATCTAATATAGCTACTTAGCTATATAGCTAATCGTAAGTAATTTAGCTTTAGTAGTTAAAATAGTAATTTTTTTTTACTTATAAGATTTCTACTCTATTAGGCTACTAAATAGGTAAAAGATAAATCCTTTAGAGCTTCTTCGATTAGGATTATTAGTAAAGCTTATATCTAATAAAAGAATAAAGATCTAGTTATCTAATTAGCTACTACTAAAATAGATTACTAGGTCTTTGTGAGTGTGAGCAAGCGATGCTGCGCAGGTAGAGAGGAAGGAAGAAGATTGAATAAGATAGATCGATCTTTCTTCCTTAGATTGAATAGGAAGGATAAAATCAATTCGGCTTAGAATCATGAGAGAAAAGTAAAGTAGGACTGAAGCTTGGTTGATTGTATTGAATCTTGCTTGTGTGTCTTTTTATTATTGACATGATTATTATCTTGGTAGAGAAAACAGGGCGTATATATAATCAATATTTTATGCAAACTTGTCAAACCTCTTTCGCATGTGATTATTCTAGATCTAGGATCTAGATACATGATGACCTCATGTAGATAGATCTAGATGTATAGTGATCTCATGCAGTAGCTGTTTGATCGG